TTTTTTTTTTTTTTTTTTTTTTTTTTTTTTTTTTTTTTTTTTTTTTTTTTTTTTTTTTTTTTTTTTGCTTTTGTTTATTTTAATCTGGATATTTTCCTGGACATTTTGCATGTAGAAATTTCTTACTTTTACTGTCTTAAAGGGGCAGTATTATGCATTTTCCAGCCACATAATTTTATCTTGTATCACTGGTTGTATTCCCATTAACCATACATGTACGCAACTTGAAATTACAAAAATATATTTGCTTATGGAAACAAATATTTGAGTTTCAATCAAAAAACTGATGTTTGTTTTGATTAAAAGTGAGGTGGTTGTTTTGGGCTGTATTGAAATAGATGTATTTCGCACAATTGCAATGGAAAGACGTTTTTTGGCAACACACGAGTCACGTGATCAATAGCTGGATGTTGCTACTGGCAGAAACGAAGAAGAGAGGAAGTAGTAGGAGATTGATGGTTTGTTTTTATCTTTTTTCTGACAATTCTCGCAGCATCACAGTTTAGAAAAAGTTGTGTGTCATTCAAATGTGTTAAATACATTGTTCTTATTTAAAATTGCAGACTGCAATTTACCCAAGACACTCCATAAATAGCTGCTCCAAAGGTTAAGGGATGACGACGTCTCCTGTGACGTGTGATAGATGGTGCGCTAGTCATGGCTGAATTATGAATATAACTCATATAACTGTTTACATCATTCGCTGCATGATTTATAATGACTTATTGCACAATACAACCTTTTTTCACAGATGATATTCACTTAATTTATTATTTAATAGAAACACTGCAATTGGGAAATAGTGTTTTTTCAACATCAAAAGAATACAGGCAAAGATTTGCACACATTTGCAATGTAAACGCAGCTACTGTTATAGAAATGCTGTATCAAACATGACATAAAAGAAATTTGACTATTAAATATAGAGCTAAAAAAAGTAGATTTTTACATAATACACCCCATTTAAGGTTGGAGGGAAGAAAGGAGGGATGACTGCCTGATTCACAGATGGATGGATGAGCAAAATGTATGGATGAAACTTTATTGCATGATGGGAAAATTCAGCAGCAAGTTAAAGGTAAATGGAATCATGCATGAATTTCCAATAACAAAAAAGAGAAAATAGGAATAAATGAATGTACATTAAGATGAAAATCACGACATAAGCAAAAGAATACTGTTCATTCTTATTTCTCCATACTTTTATTTTCTTTTTCCATACTTATCCAGACATTAAAAACGTGCTAAATAAAATTCGACAGTTTTCCAGACTGCGTGGGAATCCTGTCTACAGCTCATTCAAGATGTGTTAAAAATCACTACGACCTGAACAGAAACCATCAAATATCCCGACTAGTTGGGGATGAATGTTATGTTTGAAATGCAGAATCGACCCCACACACACACACGCACACACACACACACACACCCGCACACACGCGCGCGCGCACACACACACACACACACCTTCCATCTCTCTCAGCCCCCATCCCTCTCCTCCTCCCTTCCTGTCTGCTGTTGCAGTATCATATTGTGCTGGACTATGAGGTACCAGCCCAACCCGAAGTATCACAAACACCCCACAGCATGCCTCTCTTCCGCTATCTCTTTCGCTCCCTCTCTCGCTTTCTCTGTCGAAATAAATAAATTCCTACAAAACTCTCCACAGAAAAAAAACCCCCAAAGCAAAACAACGACAACCCTCCCTCTGTATTGTCGCGTATATTCGCTTTAAACGGAGCCCTAATGACATCACATTGCTGCAATGCTGCGCTGTCCATGAAATGTGTCAGTCGTTTCCTGTGATAACCAAGGAAGTGTCCACTGGCTGCTCGAGACATCATCATGGCGTGACTAACCGGGCTCGTATTTGTGCAGGTGGTCGTTTTGCATTATCAGACATTGGCTGCCTATTTTTGTTTGTTTGTTTTCTTCCGGGATACAGAAGATTTCCCCACCGCATCCCGCCAGGAGAAACCAAAGAAGCGGACGGAGCAAGTCGTGTATGAAAACTAATTGCTCGCATGACTGCGCATACTATTCGGGGAGACTGCATGCGTGTGTGTGCGTGTGTGTGTGTGTGTGTGTGTATGCTTGCTTGGGTGGGATTCCTTCGTCGCGCCTCAGACAGGGGGGAACTTATGACAACCAATAGCTCCGGAGATGAGCTGAAGCACGAGCGTTTGTTTTGCAGGGCACGAGCGGTTCTTTTTTTTTTTTTTCGGAGAGTTTTCTTTAAGGCTCCAATTTGACGCCAACGTCTCTCTCTTTTTCAGGAAAGCCTAAGTATCGCTTCGAGAAGAGCTGCAGTTCTCCATCCGGACACCATCTCTTCTCTCTCCCTCTCTCTTTTCCTCGGCTTACGGCAATACATAAGAGGCGGGAGATGTAAGGAGAATGTAACCCACCTTGCTATGTATATTTTTTGAGGGAATATTTTGTGCTATAAAACAGCACGCGGGAGACTTATTGGTGCCACCAGACATTTCCATCCCTGCTCCGACGCAAACCTCGGACTATCCCGAGCTTTTTCCTCTCCCTTTTCTCCTCCTCTCTCTTTGGATTTGGCGGATTTCAGCTTTGCATCTCCTGCCTTTTAAGCCACAACCAGGACCCTACTGGGATTTTAGGTGCGGTTTTTGTCGTCCCGACACAGGTAACTAAAGAAACCTTATTGTTTTTTCTTTTGTTGTTGTTGTTTTTTTGTCGTTTGTGACATTTCGGCTGCCGGTGTATGTAACGTATAGATGCTCCCCACTTCCATTGGATTTTTCAGCACTGTGTAACTTAATAGGAAGGTTTAGTGCTTTTTTTTCCTCCACTGGAATTTTTGAATTCCCAACACCAAGCTGTGAATTAGTGTGCTTTATCAAAGGAAGCCAGTGTGTGACCAGATAATCAGACGCACTGGACTCGAGTCTTTGGCTTCTGTACTATTAGTTCCACTTTTGGTGAGTCCAAGAATGTCAAATGGAGTTTGACACACATGTTAGGATGCAATGTCTCTATCATGAATCTATCTATCTATCTATCTATCTATCTATCTATCTATCTATCTATCTATCTATCTATCTATCTAATCATGATGAGTTTGTGCATGATGGGCCCCATGCAGCCTTATGCTCTTCTTACCTGTGCAACCCAGATGCTTAAACAGTGACAGATGAGCTAAATTTCCACAGACAGAGGCGCATATGGATGGTGGAAACGGTCCGGGTGTGTCTGCATCTCCAAGACGCAGAAGACTTTTTATATTTATTTATATAGAACTTAGCAGCAGCATGAGCTGAAATCCAATGCAAGAGCAAGAAGCAAAATTTTCCTCCTATTGGTCAGAGAGTGGACAGGTTGCACCGTGGATCCACGGAGCCTGGCTGATGATCATGATGATGATGAGTAAAACTTGTTAGAGCTAACTGGTGAGTGGCGTACAGCCAGATGATTTGTGTAATAGGCTCCAGCTTGATGTGTGTATGTGTGTGTATCTTTGGTGCGAGTTAGTGGTACATCACATTTGGAGAAATCTGCCTAGAAGATTTGATGAAGAGCTAAAGCAACAACATAAGGCATAACATTATGATCACTGACAGGTGAACGGCATATTTCTTCATTATGGCACATTTTACCCTTAAAACTAAAAATTGGATTTGATAGAGTTTGACAAAGATCAAAATGTGACGGCTTGTCGACTGGGTCAGAGGATCTCCAGAACATTACATGGTGGTTGTACCTGATCTACTGAGACTGGTAAACAGGTTAAAGGATAGGACTGTGGTGAACCATTGACATGGTTCTTGATGTGCATAGGGAGCAAAAGCTGGTCCATGATGTTTGATCCAACTGATGAGCTACTGTAGTGCAGATTGCAGATTTGCTGAATAACGTAATGCTGGTTTCCGAAAGTTGGTTGGGGTGCTAAGGGGGGTGATCTGTCTGGGTGGTCTGCTGAGGCCTGTCCACTGTGGAAAGTCTCTTGATCATCAGAGCTGGACCACCAAGCAATGGAAGACCTGATCTGATGAATATCTTTTTTTTTTTTTACTCTGTTACTTGGATGGCTATTTGCATTTTCTTACATCTGTGAATCATATGGAACCAGGATGCATTAAGAGACAAGATCAAGCTGGTGGAGGCAATTTGACACTCTGGGCAACGTTTGAGTGGGAAACCTTTGGTCCTTTCACCCGTGGGGATGTTACTCTGATATGTACACTCTAATTAAGCACTGGTCTGCCATGAGGCAAAAATGGTAGATCTTCTGATCTCAGTTACACCAAGTATCTTTTCGAGGTGCTGCATAAAGTCTGATTCATGCATCAGACTTAATGCAACAGTTGATAACTTTTATAAAATGTGTTTTTTAAATTATTTTTTTAAACATATTTCTTTCAATTATTGAACTACTACTATCTTGTGACAGTATAAGACAGGTAAACTGTGAAAAAAATCGAGCGTCCTCCCTGTGGTCCTACTGCCATCTGCAGAAATGCACGGCTTGGTTAGAACCAATCAGAGCCAGTAGGAGGGTCTTAGTACTGGCTGTCTATCGCTGTAACATATGTGCTGCTCAAATGCTTGCTATCTGATGTGCTCTAACACGTTCTCCACAACATAGCCTCCCATGAATGCTCATGCTAGTTAGCATAGCCACTGGTGACTGTGGACAAACAGTTTTCCTGTATGGTAATTTGCTTCCACCCTATTAGCACATGAGCGTGATTAACAGCGCTAAGACCCTCCTCCTATCTCTGATTGGTTGTTTCTCACCGGGAGCTGTGCAATTTTGCAAGTGGCAATAGAACCACAAGGAGCTCAATTTTATTTTTTTTTCTACAAAACTTATCTGTAGGCTCTAATAAGTTTGTAACAACATTTTTTAAGCTACTTACTGCAGCTTTAAAGGATCTGCTGGATCATGAATACCAGCTAGAATTACCAAATTATTCACTGGATGGTATTTGAACTTTACAGAGGAATTAAGCACAATTAATTGGAATACACATAACTAACCCTGTAATTTATAATAACTAAGGTCAGCTTCCAGCAGGGATTTTAATTTCATAGTGCAAAATACCCTTTGACATAATTTTGACTAAAACAACCAGTTTTTATGCAATTACTACCACACCAAGGGGAATTCAGTTGAAAGTGTTGGTGTTCTGCAACTTTTAGATGAGTCTCTGCTTCAACACACCCGAGTCAAATAATCAGGTCATTAGCAGGGCTCTGGAGAACTGGACTGCATACTGAGGAGGTAATTCAGCCATTTGATTCAGGTGTGTTGGACCAGGGACACATGGGAAGGTTTCAGGACGCCGGCTCTTGAGGACTGGAGTTGAATTCCTCCATGCTCTTATCGGCTCTGCGCTCTTCCATCATCACATAAAAAGCCACGTTTTTGAGTCCAGAGCACAAAATCATTGAAGCGACACATTCATATTTGTGAAATACATAAAGTAAAGTAGGTTTTGATGATATCCTTAGGCCACTGTAATTCATTTCTAGTCTTATTGCTTATTCTTGTGGTTGTGTGCCTGTGACAAAAGAAAATGTTTATATTTTGGATTTGAGCAAACTATATGATAGTTTGCTTTAATTTACTCGGTTCCCAGTTAAACCCACTCCTCCCAATTCCCTTAAAGCTGCAGTATGCAACATTTATAAACAATGTTTTTTTTGTTTTTTTTTGTTTTTTTTTACATATTTAAAACTTATTGTGTTGTGATAATATAACCTGAGACAGATAATCTGTGAAAAATGAGCTCCTCTGCTTCCTTTCTGTGGTCCCAAAAACAACCAGTCAGAGCCAGGAGGAAGGTCTTACTGCTGTCAATCATTCTCATGTACTCGCTCCTTAATGTTCTGGTGGTGCATAAACAACTAAATGTCACAGGTAAACTATTTACTTGCTGTCATCGATTGCTAAGCTAACTAGAAACTATTTATAGCCTAACAGAGAGCAATCGGAGGGTGCGAGCAGCGCATACACGAGGGAGATTGATAGCACTAAGACCCTTCTCCTGGCTCTGATTGGTTGTTTTTGACCAAGCTGCAGATAGCAGAGGAGCATGATTTTTTTTTCCCCCCCACAGTTTATCTGTCTCATGTTATACTGTCACGACATGCTGACAGTTTTAACAAATATGTAAACAACATAATGTCTATTAAAACTACATACTGCAGCTTCAATAACCACTGAAAGCACCTCCAGGTTGCCAGTGGAGTCCTTGACAGGGTCAGGGCTGCAGGCAAGACGGTCATAAAATTATCTCTAAATCTTCTTCACGATGGTGATGTTATTAATGCAGGGAGTGAGCAACGTTGATTATGTGTGCAGCAGACATTTATTTAGCTGTCGTTATTTCAGGCCGGTATTTGAGGGAAGCTGGTAACGGTATAGGCTGAGTATCTTTATTTTAGAGCATGATGCCAAAGAGGCCGGCGCTGCTCTCTGGAATTATCTCTTTATTCCAAGGGGGGGGGAACTCAAATGCCAGCACCAAGAAAGAAACAAGAATAAGACTGTAAATCTGTTAAGAGCTGAGGTTAGATGTCAATATCTTACTCTGAAGTCAAGAGAGCTTCCCTCATCTAGCTCTGCTTTATTCGCACAATGCTTTCCAAGACCTCCCCCTGGGGATTATGTAGGTACCTGGCAGCTGTGTAGTTATATCGGGACAGGGAGTGAGTGTTTCTGCAGAATGCAGTGCTGTAAAGAAAAAAAAAAAAGAAGACACTTCAGCTGCATCTGCTGTATATGCACCATCTATACCAATGTGATGCAATCCTGGATGATCAATATCAGTCTTCATCACTTGATGTTTTGGCAATTACAAATACATGCAACATGGCTGTAAAATCGTTGTTTTTTTTTAAATCGACTTAGCCTAGTCAAATTACACAGCATCATAGAAATTTTGACATAAAGGACTATTAAGAGGAAAATACTGCTAAAAAAACAAAGGTTAATGAGTTCCCCTCAAAGGAGGGTGGATACCCTTGAGCCTTATTGGATTGGTAATTTGAATTAGCGACGTGTGCAGTGGGACTCTTATGTATTTATGTGTTTTTTTGTTTTTTTTTCCCCCCACCTCTTTCAACCAGCTGTGTGATGCAGTAAGCGGTGATAATCACGTCTGTGGCTTGTCAGGGTGTTGCAGGATGTTACAGCAGAAGCTCAAAGCGCTTGCTGTCATGTGTTCGCCTAATGAAATCAGACAGGATGGTCATTATCATCATTGTGCATTATTGCCGACACTTCCATCTTCAGCACTGCTAAGCCAGGCAGAAAAAATTAAATAATAAAAAAAAAATCCTACCTGTGCGGAATAAATACACAGAAACCCTTGCAAAGGCATGTATGCAAGCAGATGTGGATGTATAAATGTATATTTTTTTACTCGTACAGTTTTTACTTTCTGAGCCGCTTTATGCGAGCTACGAGGTGCGATAAATGGGGTCCCTCTGCTTTGCCATTCTGCTGTATTGTGTTACAGCTGCTGCTCCGGTGCTGGTGTCATGTGTTCTCATTATGAAAGCGGGACTGGGAGAAGGTTATCAGCCACAGCAGGAATGAAAGAATAACTGAAACACAGGCTATTGATCTGTATGCTGCAGCATGAAAGACTTTATAATGCAACATATAGAAGAGCTTTT